CGGTGGTGGTGGGAGCCTCTCCCACCTCCTCAGCAGTGCTAAGGATGTCTGACTGCAGCTTAGGCCTGCTCTCCGCTGGCAAGTGGACATCTTCGAGGGCTGCCAGGCTGCCAGAGAGATGTCTGACTGCCAGCTTTGGCCCGTTTCCCCAGGGAGCGGGCCTAAACCAGCAGGTGGACATCCTCCGAGGGGTCCCAGACTGCTAGAGGGCGTAGGCCTGGCTGAGGGACCCACCCCCCCGAGTGCACAAATTTTTGTGCACCGGGCCTCTAGTGATTTTATATTGATTTGCCTAATTTAAACTTAACATTACTTAACATATTTCTTTTATACTTGTATCTCTTCTGCAATAAAATTTTGGTAGTTATAAAATTAATGTTTACTTCCTTTATGCTATAATATATACAAAATATTTCAGAGTCATAATATTAATATTACTACTAACAATAAGCCCAACAAGTTGAAGATTTATTTGCAGTCGTTTTTGTTGTTAGAAGTTAGGTTTATTTGTTTCTGTTTATATTAAGCTTTAGTTTCTTTTGAAAATTTTAGTCTTGAATATTTAAAACATTTACATGTCACAAAGTTTAGTATAATGAAAGGTATACTTAGAGAAGTGTTAATCTCATCCTTGTGCCTGTCACTGTGCTCCCACCTATCCTATCTAATAAAAGAGAAACATGGTAATTAGCATACGACCTCTACCCTTCCCATTGGCTAACCAGGGCAATATGCAAATTAACTACCAGCCAAGATGACGGCTGGCAGCCAGGCAGCTCAAAGCGAACATGAGGCTTGCTTGCTTCAGTGATGGAGGCCCCCAACGTTCCCCGCCTGCCGTTGCAGACCTCTGAGCTGCAACTCTAAGCAACTATGTTACAAATATAGAAGCTAAACATAACCCCAGAAACCTGCTTTAATCCGCCAGGCTTCAGCCAGCAGGATCGCAACATTGTTTCAAATACAGAAGGTAAACAAAGGCCAGAAACCTGCTTTCAGCAGCAGAGGCATAAGAACTGGAGCCAAGCCTCAAAGCTAAAACTGGCCCAGAATAAAAAAAAAAAGGAGTGGTTGGGAGCTTCAGTCAGCCGCCAGCCTGAAAACAGCCCCCAGACTGGCCAGGCACCCCAGTGGGGACCCCCACCCGGAGCCAGGACACCCTTGAGGGCAAACCAGCCAGCCCCAACCCGTGTACCAGGCCTCTATCCTATATCGTAAAAGGGTAATATGCCTCCCAGCACTGGGAGCAGCGGAGCCGCGAGGCCTCCCGGCACCAGGATCAGTGTGACAGGGGGCAGCACCCCAACCCCCTGATCCGCCCTGCTCTGTGCATGACAGGGGGCGGCGCCCCAACTCCCCAATCGGCCCTGCTCTGAGCCCGACCAGGGGCTGCACCTAGGGATTGGGCCTTCTCTCTGCCACCCGGGAGCAGGCCTAAGCCAGCAGGGGGGGCCCAGACTGCGAGAGGGCACAGGCCGGGCTGAGGGACCCCCTCCCCCCCCCCCAAGTGCACAAATTTTTGTGCACCGGGCCTCTAGTCTATACTAATAAAAGGGTAATATGCTAATTAGACCAGAAGTTTTCCGGACGACCTTCTGGACAAAAGCTATGGTGGCATTGCTGAGGCAGAGGCAGTTAGGGGCGATCAGGATGGCAGGGGAGAGCAGTTAAGGCGATCCGGCCGGCAGGCAGGTGAGTGCTTAGGAGCCAGCGGTCCTGGATTGCGAGATGGATGTCCAACTCCCCACAGGGATCAGGCCTAAACTGGCAGTCAGACATCCCCCGAGGGGTCTCAGATTGGAGATGGTGCCGGCCAGGCCGAGGGACCCCTTTGCCCCCATGCACGAATTTTGTGCACCTGGCATCTAGTCCTATATAATAAAAGCCTATTATGGTAAGTGTCCAGTCGTCCTGTCAGCTATTCAACCAATCAAAGCATGATATGCTAAGGCTTCTCATCATTTTTGCTATGACGTGCACTGACCAGGGGGCAGATGCTCTGACCAGTAGGTTAGCTTGCTGCTGGGGTCTGGCTGATCGGGACTGAGCAAGACAGGCTGGACACACCCTGGATCCCTCCCATGGTCCCTCCCTGGCTGGCCAATGCCCCGTTTCCCTCCCCAGCCCCAATCATGCACCAGTGGGGTCCATTGGCCTGGCCTGCACCCCCTCGCAATCCGGGCTTAGGGACCCTCTCCCTGAGTGCATGAATTTTGTGCACCGGGCCTCTAGTCCTTAATAGGTAATGATTTTTATTATTTTCCACATAATTTTTTCTGTGTTTATGTTTGCCAAAAAGAAACATGTGTATGTTATTCTTCTATTTCAGTATGTATTTTCTTATTTCTGTTTCTCTTTCTCACACTAGTGGTCTCATTCTAAGTACATTTCTTTTGCATCTTGTTTTTCTCAATCTTTTTTCTTTTATGGCTCTAAAGTACTTTGTCACATAGATGTACCATCATTTATTCAACCAAATTCATTTCTGGGGATTTGGTTGTTTCTAATATTTTGCTCTTATAAATCAATGAATAACGTGTGCTTATGTTGTTTTGTATTTGTGAGGGGGTGTATCTTTAAGAGCAATTCATAGAAATGGGATTGCTGGGAGAAATATGTAGTTTTGTTAAATAGTGTCAAACTTTCCATGTTTGTGGCACCATTTAACACTCCACCAGCAAGGCACTGCCAGGGCTTTCTAACCTTCAGCAATGTGCTGTCAGGCTTTTGAATTTTTGCTAGTTCTGTTGGATGAAAAGCATTAACTCGGTGTTTTTAATTGTACTTCTCTTATTATGAATACATTACAGCCATATTTTTTCATTTTTTAATATAGCTTAATTTGGTCAGCCTTTTTTGCTTCTGAATTTTGAGTCATAGTTAAGAAAGATTTGGATATCTACATTATAAAGAATTCACTGATGTTGTTTAGTACTTGTTTTGTTTTGTTGCCATTTTCTATGTTTAGCTCTCTGACTCATGTAGAGTTTCCTTTAGTGTATGGTGTGAGGTTTGGATCTAGTTTATCTTTTGCCTATGCCAGTTATTCACATTGCTTATTAAAAATTCCACCTTTTCTCCATCAGAAGAAAAGGACAGGTATACCTGGTTTTAAAAAGGAAAAGTTCACAAAATTAATATTCTGGTATTTCACTTTTTTTAGTGTCAATTTTATTGGCAAAAGCTTTAATGAGAATAATCTTGACTCAGAGACATAGCTGGGCTCCTACTATAATTGAATTTGTACCCCCAAAATATAGGCCCCTACTTTCAGGAGAGAACTGGGACCAGCACACGTCCTTGGTGATGGAGGAGCAGGCCCATCCTGAGAACAGGCTCTCCAGGCGAGTAGCACAGTGCTCACACGGGCCGCCAGTTCATTTAAAGTTCAGAGGGCACACAACCCAGGGCCTCACTTCACCTGACATCGCTCAACAAAATGAGTGCTTTTTGTGGGTGTTTTTGCTTTTAATTGTGACAGGGCTTTTGGAGAAGACACAAATGGCTAAAGCCGTTCTCAAGTTTCCCGCAGTGCTGCTCCTTCAGAGGTAAAGGACTTTTGGAAATGTGTGTGCGTGAGATTTGTCACAAGCACTGGGGATGACATGGCACAGATTTTTAATAAAGAGCCAGGGATGTTAAGTGATCTGCAGGGAAGAAGAAAGTTGCCTACAATGGAGCTATCACACTCAAAGTTCCAATAGCATCCTCATGTGGGAATATGTAGTTTAAAATCACTTACCACTTCTAGGAAAAGTTCAAAGAGCAGCCAGAAAATCAGTGGGTGTCACTGTGGGTAAGACGTTGAGCCTACTCTGTTCAGTGTTCTGCCTGATATTTGCACTTCCAGCTGGGCGTTAGGGTTGCGTTGGAGCACATTAGCTCAGCAGTTGTGTAGCAGCCAGTCTAGGGTTCCTTTAAAAGGAAGAGATGATCTGTATGTGTGCTATTACTTTCATGTTTGAGGAGACACTTGAAAATTGTTCATAACTAGTTTAATACGGTAATGCCCCCTTATCCACAGCTTTCCTCAGTTTCAGCTACCTGTGGACATTCTCACTCTGAAAATATTAAATGAAAAATTCCAGAAATCACTGTCCCTTCCATCTCACCCGGGATGTGAATCAGCCTTTGTCCTCTGTCTCCAAGCTGTATTCACTCCCCACCCCTTAGTCACTTAGTATCAAATTCACTATTGAAGTATCACAGTGCTTATGTTCAAGTAACCCTTATTTTACTTAACAATGGCCCCAAATCCCAAGAGTAATGGTGCTGGCAATTCAGTTATGCCAAAGAGAAGCTGTAAACTTCACCATTAGTATACATATATGTATTTATAGGAAAAAGCATGGCGTACATAGGGTTGGGGATTATCAGCAGTTTCAGGCATCTACTGTGGGTTGTAAAACTATGGACTACTTTCCTTACAATTTTTCTTTTGGGGGATGTGTATGTGGTAACATTCTTTCATTTTGATTATGTTGAAATGAGATAATGTATATGAAACTGTTAATGTGATATCTGGCACATTTGCACTCAATAACTTAATCATGACATTAACCGGTTTTTATAACAATTGTTAATTAACCTTTATGTGTATTTTCAGAGAGCTATTGCTTATCTTTTTCCCAGTGGTTTGTTTGAGAAGCGAGCCAGACCAATAATGAAGGTAATTATCTTAATTCATATTTTTAAAAATTTCACTTAGTTTTATATGTTGCAATAATTATCTAATGCATTTTTAAATTTATTTTACAGCATCCTGAACAGATTTTTCCAAAACAGAAAGGTAAGTTTGTTAAGAATGAAATAAGCAGTTATTGTTGCTATATTGTTACGTTATACTGTTGGCCTAGTGAACGAAATTAGTGCACATTAAAAGGGAATTAATTAGAGGAAATATTTTAATATTGCTATTTGCCCTTTCTCTATAATAGAAGTGTCAGAGATGAAAGAAAAATTAGTAAAATGTATATGAAAATAATAAATTTATTAATAATCACAACATGATATAAAAACAACAAAAACATGATGTAAAAACAACACTGATACAAACAATGACTGATAAATTGATTAAACTTATTCTAATATCTCCCTGTATACCACATTAAGAGTGAAAACACTTTCAGAGTGCTTGACTAATTTCCCTTGTGCTAAAGAACTTTACAACTTTAACGTCACATGCTCTTCAAACTCGAGAGAAAACAACATATAACTGACCATGTGCAAAAACGGGTTCATGTAGGAATATGCCTACTCTGTCTAGAGTTTGTCCTTGTGATTTATTAATAGTCATCACAAATGCTGGCATCACAGGAAATTGTTGTCGAATCAGTTTACCCTACTAGACCGTTGTACCGATTTTTCAGTAATTTCCACACAAAGGTGGAATATTGGCGCTAGATGAAAGGAAGACCTATTTTCTACAATGAAACTGTCTTTGAATTAATTTAAATGGGAGGCCAGTGTCAGATGGGGACATATCCATTCTTAGAATCAGAACAACCTCTCCTTCTGCAGATCCTGTTAATACTTCAACTTCAATAATGTTAGGTCACAATCTTTTGATAATAAATCTAGTACCATTACAGAGATCCCATTTACTATTAAGATTTCTCAGTAGCATGATGATTGCACCCACTTTCAATTTTAATTTATGAGACGGCATTCCCGAAGGAGTAATACTATTAAGAAATTCAATGGAAAAATTTTCCTTTTCAGCATTATCTTTTGAACCAATGAAAGCATCACTCAAATATGTGTGAAAATCTCCAATGTCTCAGTATTGTGCCGCATGCTATGTGATCAGCCATAGAATAAATGAGTTTAAAGTACTGTAGTGTTTGGGGATGTTTCAGAAAGTTGTCTCTTGCCGAAACCGGTTTGGCTCAGTGGATAGAGCGTCGGCCTGCGGACTGAAGGGTCCGGCCCGGGCAGCGGGGACCCACCGCTG